CCCGACCCCCCGAAATAAATCAGAAAGATTGCAACAGACAAACATATATTATGGAAGATATTTCTTTTTATAAATCATCGAACTCGATGTTGGCGTATAAATGAGGTAAGCTAACCAACATACCCCCGTCACCAATGATACAATGCTATAAGCTATTGAGATGACAATGACAATTAAATCGTGGTATTAATCGTATCGAAAATATCGGCATTATCATCATCACCATCGCCATCACCATCACCATCACCATCATCATCATCATCATCATCATCATCATCGTCATCATCATCATCATCATCACTATGATAATAACGCCAACGACAAAAACAAAGATAAAACAATAAGTGACATAAGTCCAACTCCAATAATTCTTCACAGAGTGTAACACAAAATTTCAAAGCCACTTACAGAGATAGAGTCCACGATGGCCTGGGCCTTGTCCTTGACCTTTTGCACTTGAGCCTTGACCTTTTCAGCGGCCTGGGCTTTTACTGTGACCTCTGACAGCACCTGGTCGGCCTTCTTTGAGGCCACAGCGAGCTCCTTCTCCTTGACCGCCAGCTCCTTGCTGAGCTCGTTCACGGACTCGGTGGCCTCGATCAGCTTCTCAAGACCTACGAACGATGGAGATTTCTTAGTTATAGTAAGGATTTTACGGCGCTTGCAACACAACTAGGCCAAATAAGTGGCCCAGATCTGAGGTGTTGCTAGATTTTGTTAAAATTGTGAAAAAGCGTAGGTTTAACGACCCGGTAAACATTTGTAGATTATTTAAAAAGCAGGACCTCCGAGTTTAACGTCCATCTCCGAAAAGGTTGAGCCAAATAGGAAATTCGTATAAAGTGCCCTTCCCAAGACAATTGCTAGATAGTAAGATACAAATAAAAGACGTAGGAGAGATAAGGGCGACAGATGTTCGATAGGAAAGGAGCAAACCACACCAAAGCACCCGCCAACCACCTACGGGACGATGGCCAATACGAGTGATTGGAAAATATTTTTTCTAAGAAATGCTATAGGTTTAACGCTATTAGGTTATTTAAGAGGTGGGACCATCGATCGTAACGTCCATCCCCGAGAAGTCCGAGCCAAATAGGAAACTCCTCTAACGTGTTTTTCCCAAGGACACAACGTTGGAACCGAACTAGTGCTCGAGCCCCCAAGCCCGCAATCTCACGATTACGCGTCTGGTAGCTTAACCACTAGACTACCGACGCTATTTTGAAAAAAAAAAAACTTTCCCCCTGGCCCTTCATTTGCTCAAAATTGAGTCAAATGGTGAGCGATAGACAAGGATTACGTTAGAGTGCATAGTCTAGGATATTTTAATACAAGTCTATGGCATACATAAAAAAAATCTAGAATCTAGTACATGTAATAACACTAATCACGTGTTTAATGCTGTATCACCTCCCAAAGTGTAGGAAACTAGTACGGTTTTGCAAATAAGTAGGTGTCCACTCCTGCCGCACACCATTAGACCAATGGATGTCGCACTGATCTTCAATACTCATGACCTTGGTTCGAATCCCTAACTGAATCTCTGTCACCCGACCCAGTTTGAAAAAAAACCAAATTGGTGCTCTTTGCCCTATCCTAGTAGTTGGTGACGTACCAGTATTCATGCGGTGAGCCAGCATTCCGATCTCTTCCTTTTTCTCCGCGTAGATGGTCTTGTAGCCTGAGATGAAGGAAAGGTACGACTTGGGCGTGACGTGAGTCTGGCGACGGTACCGCTGGAAGTACTCAACGCACATCTCAGCCACCATGTCCTGGAAAGACGCAAGAACATTTACAAGAAGGTTAATGCAGGACGTTCTGTTTCAAAGTGCATAATATTCTCTTTCTGCTGATGCTGACGATAATCATCATCATCATCCAGTGCCAGATCTGCGACAGACATCGGCGATCACGGTTCTTCATTCATTCCTTTGCTCGGATGCTCTAAAAAAAAAAGTAACGTTTCCCTGATCTTTCCCTGTTACCCATTTGTTTAGGTTCCCTAAGTATGTTGTTCTGGGCCTACCCCTGCCTCGCTTGCCCTCAATTTTGCCAGTGAGAGCTAGATGTTTAAGACCCTTATGTCTATTTATGTGTCCCAAAAACTGCATTTGTCGTTTCCTGATTAGTTTTAACATTGAGCGTCCCACGTGG